TGCTTTTTTTTTCAGCGCCTCCTTGAGCAGAGGCCAGGGTAGGCTGGAAGCAGGTATCTGGGATTTATTTATCTTCTATAATTGAAACATTGTAGCCTTGAGTGGAGCCCAGAGCTGGCCAGTGCAGGCAGGAAGCTTGGCTTTCTCCATCGCCGGGGGGCAACCCAAGCCTTCTGCTCGCTCCAGCTCCGTGGCCACCGCCATCTTAGTTGGATTAATTTGCATGCTTGCTCCTGATTGGCTGGTGGGTGTGGCTTGTGGGTGTAGCAGAATGGCGGAGTGATGGTTAATTTCCATGTTTCTCTTTTATTAGTGTAGATAGATAACTCTAATTTTATTAGTGTTTAGTCTCAGTATTCCCTGTTAGTTTCTAAGTTCTCTGAGGGTTAGAGCTATGTCCACCTTGTTCACCTGTTTACCACTCAGTGCTAGCACAGCACTGAGTAAAGGTCTCTCTCCCTCTCTTTCTCTCTCTTTTTTTCTCTCACACATCCACACACATAGTCACACACATAAACACAAATGCATGCACGTGCAACCACATGAACACACAAACAGGAGTCCTTACACCATCCAATAAATGGATTAATTAAAAAATATATATATTTTACATCCTTCTTTTTCCATAGTAAATCTTCAAAAATGCAGTGTGTTTTTATTCACAGCATGTCTCAATTTGCACTAGCCACATTTCAAGTGTCTGGCTCACATACAAATGTGGCTAGTGGCTATTATATTGGACAATGCAGATACAGAACATTTTCATCATCACAGAAAGTTCTTTGGACAGTGCTCTTCAAGACCATGCTTTTAGTGTGTGTGTGGTGAGGGGGAGGGGGCTGTTGAGAGAATAAGAAAAAAAAAGAACCTTGAGAGAAAGAACTGTATGTCTGTATAACTGGGGTCATGCCACATCACTTCTTAAATCCATACAATCTAAGTTCAATGCCCACCATATGCCCACGTTCACCGACTTCTGGGTATAAGTAGATCTCTTTTTTTTGAAATTCTGTCCCCTAAATCTGTCTCAGAGGGATCACTTTTCTCCATCACCATTGCAATTATTCTAGTCTACCTAATCTAGTTATCTTTCACTTGGATTAAGTTTCCTAATGAGGCATTTTCAATCCATTCTCTTCACTGATCTTTATAAAAGGCAAATCTTATCATGACATTCCATTGTTTCTGCTTAAAACTCTTTAACGACTCATAGAGGACGTTCTAAACTCCATAATAAAATTCAGCAGTGTATAGCCCACTAGCAAATATCCTATAATTTCTACTTAGTTCTTTTTTTCCCCCTTGGAGGAGGGAGTCTCATTCTTCCTGAACAATTAGCCAAGGATGACAAGACATTTGAAGGAAAGCCTTCAGCAACAAAGAGACCAAAAGAGAGGAAATAAGAACTCTAATGAGTCATAGATAACACAAAGAAAACTTTCAAAAGAGCCATAATATCCTCAGATATTTTAAAGATATTACATTCATAAAACAAGAATGAGAAGCCATGATTTAAAAAAATGAAAAAAGGACTCCTAGAAAAGAAAAACATGAGCCAAGGTGATGATTAAAAAAACAAAACACCCTCAACAGAGATTTAAAGAGAGGTCAGAGAATATCAATTCTACCTCAACTAGAGGCCGGGTGCACAAAAATTTGTGCACTCAGGGAGGATTGGGGGTCCCTCAGCCCGGCCTGTGCCCTCTCGCAGTCTGGGACCCCTCAGGAGATAACAACCTGCTGGCTTAGAACTGCTCCTGGGTGGCAGAGGGCAGGCCCAATCCCTAGGTGCAGCCCCTGGTCGGGCTCAGAGCAGGGCTGACTGGGAAGTTGGGGCGCCGCCCCCTGTTATGCACAGAGCAGGGTGGATTGGGAGGTTGCGATTCCACCCTCAGTCACGCTCACGGTAGGGCCAATTGGGGGGTTGGGGCACCGCCCCCTGTCACACACAGAGGAG